TACAGTGTGAGAAAAGTTTATAGAGTGAATTAGACTGTGAATTTACAGGATCAGGAATATCTACAGGAAATCTGTTGAATACTGAATGAGTGGTATTAGAAGTCGAAAAAACGCTCGCTGCTTTTTCCCTGGTCCGCCGTATTACCGAAATTCAATGCAAAACTTTGTTCGTCATTCGTCTCACTGGGAGTTACATTTTCGTTGTCAAAAAGAGACATATAATTGGCGATATTAGTGCCGAGACCGTGGCCGTGCTTTTGCTGCTGCTGTTGCTGCTGGTCTGAACACAAATATTATAATTTTAAAGCATACGTACGGTTTACTTCTTAATAATTGACAGTAATAACTAAAACAACATCATTGACGAATGGCAAGCCAAGACCGGGAAGTGGACGAAAATCTCAAATCCAGCATCCCAGTTCATTCAATTTTCGGCTGAATGTCGCCCTTTTACTGAATTAAATTCTATCTTATTCTTGGCTATAGAAAAACACAGTTCTTGTCATTTGTCATCATGTGCCCGATAAAGCAGTACGATCGCCTTAGCGAAATTCTTGATAGCAAAAAAGTATGTATCTTCATTTCAATGAAGTTATGACAATCAATTCTTCGCACTAGTCTTCATGGAACCATTATTACACTTTTGTTCATCGAATGGCTACCCCACACATTTTAACACCTGCTAGTGTTTTTTCGCCTTGACTTTATGCAAATTCATGCATAAGCAGAAAATGAGGGGGAGAAGTGGTTGCAGTTGGGGAAGTAGATTCAGTTTACCACTTTGCCATTCAGAAGTGAACTTAACACCGCCGATTTCTAACCATTAACGTATCCCAGACTGCTTCCAAGCAACCCTCGGAAAAGGCACTCTAGAAAGCGAGTAATTGCTGTCCTGTCTCTCACGGACAGTGACTTTTGTCTCTTGCACAATAAATTTAAGAAACCACCACACTTTAGAAGAAGACCCACTCAAATCAGTGGCCAGATGAGCAAAGTGAAGCAGTCGCTGCCGGCACTCTTTTTTCATTTGCCAAAATATGTTTTTTTTTAACTGCTTTTATATCGAATTTAACAATTATTTCTGAACTATTTGCCTTCTGGAGCGATTCTACGCTTCTAAGCTGATTTTTAGTGCCTTTTTGATGTCTTTTGCGTTTTCTAGGAAAATTTTTTTACTTAAATTTTAGGCTCGTTGTGTACAACACAGTTTTTCTCACAAGCATTTCATCCCTCCGCCCTCCAAAATCCTTCTTTTATATGAGTATTTTACGAAACATATGCAGACATTGCTTTCGAATGTGATCGCTTACTTCTTATCATTGTAGAAATATTAAAGATCGCTGACGCGTTAAACTCTTCCGTATTCATGGCGTTAGACAAATTCATTGCAGACACATTAGGCGAGAAGTGATTGAACTGAAAAATAAATCGTATTGAGGTCAAACTAGAAGGCTCTGTACTGACTCGCCGCGAGAGATGGAGGCGCTCGAAAGTAGCTCACATGGCAATACACGATTACAACAACCATTTGCTGGTAGCCTGC